CTTTACGAGTCCCCAGTGACTGCTGAACTCTAAGGAAATCTGAGAGCTCTTTTAGACCTGCTTCAGTAAAATACTTGGCAAAATGGTCCACATTCTGCCGGTTGGCTGGAAATAGCTCCTAAAAAGAAAGGAATGCTCTCCGTTAAATAAATAACCAACTATGACTCTTGACAGAATGGGAAGAACATTTTTAAAGAATGAACAGTGGGAATCACCTGGTACTGCCCTTAAAAAAAAGTCAACGCTTGTATTAACACTGGAAAAGTCAACACTTCATTCATAATGTGTTTCGTTATAGTGGAAGGAAAAATGATGTTATGCAAAAAAAATAACATCCTCTCCACGTGAAATGCATGTACTTATGAATAGCTGTGAGTTTAAGATGTCACTCAAAGCAGTCCTCAGAGAAACTATACCTTTTCCAGATTCCAAGCGTCTTGTATGGAAAGTACAAAGGAATAGATGGTAAAGCCATTATAAGCAAAGCACTGCCATGCCCCCCCGATGTGTCCACAGATTTACCTCTTAAGAAAAATGCACTTGGCAGTACATTATTTAGCCCAGGCATCCTGGCCTGATGTCACTACTCTTGCTGAGCAAATGATGCATTAGTGGTAATCATTAACAAAAAACCACAAAATCCATTTCGTACTGTTAACATTAAGTCCTGTAGGCATTTCTAATTCAAAGATCCTGTCATTCTATGATTTATGAAAGTCAAGCTACTTAGAAAAGTTAAAATTATTCTTAAAAACTGCTACAGCAAATGCCCCATCTTGGTAAGGATTCAATGGCATTTGCTTATCATCCAGTTCTTGGTGTCTAACAATGATTTGTGGGATGGATAGCACTTTTTATTTTTTTAAACAAAGAAGCTAGAGACCCTCAATCGGTTTACTTACCTAAAATGAGATTAAGAAGAAACTACCATGAAGGCATCTATGCTTGGCAACGTCAACTGATACTGTATAGTTCTTTAATATAGCAGCATAATGACAGTCAACAGCTGAAAGCTTAAGTCAGTCAAGTTTGAAATAGAAATAAGATGCAGTTTGCTTTCCCCCCCCCGCTAATAAAAAGTGTAATTAGCCCATTTCCCAGCTTTGTGGCAAATTATTTATGACTAAGACTCTTAAAATCAAATAAAAATTGAAGAGATGAAGGGGTGTGGAAGGTTGCTTCACTTTTGAAAGATTCTTGCCTAACCATAAATTATTGAGGTAGAAACAGGAAATACTGCTGAAATTCTCCAGGCAGTGCTACAGAGGATGTAGCGCATTTGATTGGATTATCGCAGCAGCAATCTTTTTGAAGATTAAAAAAACCCTATTGATCTTCAGAAAGATGCTGGGAGAGAAAGGCACATGACACCGATGCATATTCATATCTACTCTAAATACCTCAGGCCATTGCTACAAACCCAGAACACAGGTTTTGAGTCCAAAGGCTGAAAGCCTTCCTGCATTGCTCCTACTAAGTCTGCTGTCATCACTCCAGGAGCGTTTATGCTACCCAGATGGCTATTGCTGCAGAAAATTAGCTTACTGTGCTTTTGCTATACTATTTAAATGCTGTTGCTTTGGAAACTTATATTCTAATCGTAACCCTTTCTACTTTATTTATTATTTACAAAAGTAAAACATATTTAAAAAAAAACCCAAAAAGTCCTCATGCACAGTGGCTGCTCGTGTGTTTTGTTAGCAGTGGTTAGAAAAAAAACCCATTTAATTAATTCCCAACCCCGATACAGTCTTGCAGAAGGCACTTAACTACAGTAAAACAGAAACAGAATGTAAAAACATGTGATATTTAATATTACTGAACCTGTATCAATGCTACAGCCATAACAATATTGCTGTGATTCAAAATATTTAAAAAATGCTAAGAGACCCTGAAGGGAAGTTAACATTCTTACAGCAAACTACCATCTGCATTTTATTTCCTTCTCTTTCCCAAAGAGAGATAAGGATTATTGAAAATATCATACTTACTAGCAATCTCTTATCGAGGTTGGCTTTCCTTAAAGCAGAGGTAACAGAATTGGCATCTTTCTCTGCCATCCATGCTTTAAAAAGCTTTACAGCAAAAGAGGCTGCAATCCCTGTTGGAGGAAAAACACAAAACACGTTTCAGCAATTTTCAACATGAATTAGAGATGGCTGTAAGAATTACAAGGTTACAAAATAGTTACAAGAATATGGACTGAAAATACATTTATGACAACAGGACCAAACACGTAGAGCTGAAATGCTCATTTTTTTTCTTTATTGTAGTATTTATTTTCTGAAGTATGCTAGATTGTTTGAAAATCTTTTCATTCTGTACCGCCCATCTCCATCCAATTGTTCAAAGATTTTCTTTGCAATTATTCTTCCTACCTCCCCAATTTACAGAACAAGGCCAATGCAAAAGGAAAAATTATGCATTAAATCAGTTAGGAAATGAAGGCACAAAATAATAAAGGATAGTCAGGAATGAGAATTGAAAAAACATCTCTTCAAAGGGTTTTTTAGCAATCCCTGGAATAGGGTTAAATAACTTTGCAACTTCAAGGTAACCGATTGTACCCCATCCTCCTAGGAGGCATTTAGTAGCTGGTAGGACCAGGCACAAACACTATTTTAAGTGGAAAAATTTGTTCCTCAAGGCATAATTTCGGATTTTGTGCATAAAATCAAACGAACTCTACCTCCACTAGCTGTAGCTTTCCCAGGGGAGCTGAGAAACCATTAGTCCCACACCTCCTATTTCCGTATTTCCTAGAGCAGCACCACCACGGCTCAGCTCCGGCTCGTCGGCTGCAAGCAGCAACTGCAGGGAGCTGAAGGAAGCTGAAAGGTCTCAGAGATGCAGCTCATCCCTGAGGAAGGTCCCCTGCAGGCCAGTTATGCTTCTCTGTACTATGCTCATAGCAACATTTACAGTGGTATTGAGGGTGGTGATAACAAGAGTGGAATATTATGCTACAGCCAGTCATTATAATTTTCTGCTTCACCTCCAAATAGTCCTGAAGCTCCAAGAGCTAGATGGGACCAAATGGTAGGGAGTAGCTTCATCATTCTTAGCCACTTTCGAGGCAGATATCCATTCTTTTTTATTTCTAGGATACATTGACTAAGTGAGTCATCAAACAAGAACAGAAGAGGTTATTCCCAGAGGCAGCATGAACTTCATTAACATTCATTACAGATCTTGACTGTTATGACAGTTTTGGAAACCTTATTTCAAGAGCTTAGTCATAAGGCACAATCCTTAGAGAGGTACTATATGGAACCACGGAAGCACAATGCCACACCAAGACAGGCCTACAAATACTACTGTGGGCTTGTTTTACATGTTGGACAGCAGGTTCCAGGTGAAACTGGTATGATGAAGGGATCATAAGTTCTGTGGGCTGACTAGTCAAGAGTGACAAAGCCTTGTCAACCAACAGGGGACCTAGATGTAATGTCCACCTGTAATTTCTGAGCCTGCAAATACAGTTCGGTGCATCCGATGTGCTTATGAGTTCAATACCAACATCAAATGGAAGTCTCTGGTCTCTGTCACCAAGCACTGTCCTGAATACTCATTATTCTAAACTCTTTTTCAAGTTTTAGCTTAAAACAAAACAAGTTTTATGCCAGTACAAATATTAGAGGGAAGTTGTTCAAGGGCTTCACTACCACATATGTTTTCAAGCTTGCTTCTGATTTACAGTTCAAATTTATCATTGTCCAGTTCCTACACTCTATTCATGTGCTGCCACTGTTTACCTTAAATAGCTCTTGTCTTTTTCTGTGGGTTTTCTTTTTCCCCTATTTGCAAGAAAGAAACTTCAGCCATTCATTTTATTGATTAACCCCGTTAGCTGCTCTTTACATTTGCACTGTTTTTTCAGCATGGGTGACAATAAGGGTACACTTAACCCTCATGAGGTTCCACCCCTGCCCAGGCTTTTCTGTCTCTGCTAGAAATGTCAGCCATCCCCAAACAACACTTTTTCCCATCTATACATCACAGTAAAAGTGAACAACACTGAAGAAAGGTAATCCTAAAATTAAGTATTTGTCCTCAAACTTGATAGATCTCCTGTTAGCACAATCTATCCTCTCTGCAATTTCAGCCAATTCTTTGCCAATGTTACAATTGCCATGCAGATCAACAACGCCCTCAGATAATTTTTGCCTCATGTATTTTAGCCTCACTTGCCTACAGCATTGTTTTTTGTGAATTAAAGAAAGTATCAAGTTTATTTTTCTATGATCTACTCATTTTAAGCCTTGATCATTTTCCTGCTTTTCATTTATCTTCACATCTTTAATTATTCTTCCACAAAAGACCTATTCCAGAACACTGGTTGGACAGTCTTCCTCAAATGCTGACACACGTACATTTTTAGTTTACTAAAACTAAGAACCAAAAGTATATGTAAGCTCCTGACAAAAGTTTAGGCCTCCTAGAAATGTAAGTTCATAACGCAAATGGAATTTGTTCTAGGATTTGTACATAACAATTGTACTTCTACAACGTTAAATTTTAAATATAACAAATTATTGGAGTTTTAAAAATTTGAGTTTTCAGATGCCTCTTGTCTTCCCGTAACTAGGAACAGACTTTGATTTAAAAACACTGCAGGCAATCACCCTCAGACATGGATTAGTGCTTTTGTTTGAGTTTTCTCCTAGTTTTAATTCTGATTCCAAAAGCTGTGGGTGATGACAGAGCAAAGCTGCAGCTGTGGCTTTTCTTTCTGCAGCATTTAGAAAACAAATGTAATGGTTAGCATGCTGCAAAAAAAATGAGAACATGAAGTTAGAATACCTTTTTTTTTTTTAAAGAAAAATGAAAGTTAGAATACATTTTAGCTAGTATACAGCTCTTTAACAAAATCAAAAAGACTTCAAGAAAAAGCTATTCAACACTGACAGTGCATTTACAATTGTTCCAGGTAGTCCGTAACTGGCAGAAAAAGACATTGTTGAACAGTCATTTGGAAAAATCAAGACTCCAAGGTAGATGGGCTATAAATAACTAAATAAAAACCCTCAAAAAGAAATCTCAAAAAGGCATTGTACCCTAAGACTGAAAGAACAGTTACTCATCATATAATAAATACAAGTCCATAGGAAAGTATCAATCACTAATCACTACTGGTACGAAGGCAAAAAGAGGGTTTGAATTATTTTTTTTTTTTCTTCTGCAATATCCAGTTGGCCTGCATGTACTCACCATCCCACTTCACACTCACATGCACAAGATATTGGCAACACGTGAAACAATGCTAGTAGACATATCTCAGGAACAGATGTTACACTTTACACTTTTATAGTATCACAGTAATACATATACTCCACAATTTTGCACACACACGTATAACTTCCAAAAAACACACATCCTTCGGGGTTTGTTTGTGCTTTTTGTTGCTTTCTTCCCATGTTTGACTGCCCTCTTATTAGATTTCATATAGGATGTTGGCCATTGCTGGCTATATACACTTCTGCTTTAAAATACTGATTTCTGTTGTACAGTTAGGGGTTTCCAACATATAAAGTATGTTGCAATAGAATACATCTCCGATTAAAGCTAATGTAAGAAAAAAGATCATATAGAATATGATATACCTTCTTTGACTATATTGTCAGTGAAGAGGCTTGTTAAAATTGTAGCAGGAAGAGTCCCATTGGCTAACAGGATGCCAGAAAGCATTGCCAGCTTTGTCTGTTCTGTCTCAGTAAAGGCTTTAAGAAACAGCAGAAGCTGTGGGTAAGACAAGGGAAAAAAAAAAGACATATTTGAGCCATAGGCAATGATAACAGGTAGAGACAAATATTAGAATATAGTTTAATTTCTTATTTCTCAGGAAGTCCCACTATAATTAATAGCAATCATGTCAAAATCTGTCCTGAAGCACAGCAGTGCCATTTCACTGATCGCTTATAATTTCGCATTCCATAAGAACACAAGCATGTGGAATATGGCCTTGCTCAGGGAGATAAGGTCTATCTTCTCTTACACACACATGTGTAAAAATAGAAGTGCTTGTTAAAGGCTTAAGACCCACAGAAATTATGGGATCACAAACTTGCTGATTTCAACAGGCTGAGAGGAGCCTGCCCATTCACATCGTCTGACTTCGGACAAAGCCCCACACAGTTGCAGTTATTTTCTAGCTTACAAAAACTATTACTCATGCAAACAATAAAAGGATAAGAAAGTTTCCTGTTTTCCTTTTGGAGAAGGGAACACAGCACAATTACAACAGATTTTCTATTGGCTAAAATTAGAAATATATTCCAAGTTCACACATTCTCGATAAAGCTGACAAAGGACAGACAGGAACAAAAGCTGCTTTAAGACCTTGCCATTCCCACTACTAATCACAAGAGGAAAAAATAGCTTGAGAAAAAATTACAAATCTCACAATCTTAAGTGCTAGTACATCTGAACTACATATTTACCTCTTAAAAGTCTAAAAGTGGCAATTAAGTCTACATTAAATATCTTAATTTTGTATGTTAAAACGAATGACTTGAAAGCGTACTGATGAAGTACATTACACCTCTTTTCCTTTACATCAGGAAAAACGTACAAAACGAGGCTTTGTCAAGAGCATTACTGTTAACAACGATGTTTTTTTAACATGTTGTTAGCAATCACAATATGGGTGAGGGGAAAACGGAGGCTAGACAGCAAAAGGCAGTTTCATTCATTGCAAAAAGCTGCTGACTCCATCAGAAGCTAGCTTACAAACTTAACATCACCACAAAAAAAAAAAAAAAAGGAAAAAAGAGAAAAAGTCTGCAGACATCCATTTCTAGAGTTAAAAAGGAATTCTCGTTTCCTTCTTCAGCTACCAGCGCTTTATTCACCCACATTCTGCTGTCATGACACCCTTTTTCCTTCTCCAAATGAGCAATAGATGCAATCAGAGCAGAACCGCTCACTCTGATGGAACAGTCCCACCCGGTTTCCAAATTAAGGGTATTTCTTAATTATCAAATCCTACCTATACAAAGGGAGAGAATATCACTCACGTCCCTGTGCTTGTTTGTTACCATGGACAGTCAGAGCTCTTCTCCAAGATACCTAAGCAGCTTGTCAGTAACTGTAAAGCTTTCGGAATGTAGTGATATTTTAAAAATTCAGGTAATTAATGATGTAAGTTATTAAAACTCATTAAATGTTTTATGAATAGCTCTGCTCTGTATCAGTGAATAGAGATGATAAAAACCTCATTCATACAGTAGTGCTTACATAATAACATCAGTTTTAAATTACAGCTTACACAGGCCTGAATGATTCAACCACAGACAAATAATTTGGCTGAAGCCCACTTAAAAAAAAATAAAAATTATTGCAACGTGCAGTTTTAGCTTAAGAGAAAAATTATGAAACTATAAAATCTCAAGGTGCGATTTTATTTCACCAAACTGTGACTCACAACCAAAAATTGTATGAAAATTTGGGATGCAGATGAATGGAATTATTATTTCTAAATATATGGATGAGAAACAAGTGGTGTGCTGTATTTCCAAGTGCAGCAATTAACTGTTATATATAATAGCGCAGGTAGAAGAACTCCAGGGCCACATTTAATGGGAAGAATGAAAACATTTTTACAGGATTTCAATAAAAGCCTAGTGTAAAATGGAGGCCCGGTGATTTAAAGGTTTCTTTATACAAGCCTTACCAACAATACTGTACCAAAAATGAGATCTGCCCAAGAAAAATAAAAATCAGAATTAGACCTTTTGCTCTTTACTGTAAGTATTGAGACTGTTAACAAAGAGGACACAGCTTCAGATTGCTGTGTAGCCTACTTAACTCTGTTTCCTTCTGCTCCCATACAAGCAGCAGATGATGATTTTGATTAGAAAGCAGTCACTGACTACTTTAACAGGACAGACCACATTTTGACACTTCTGAGCTGTAACCTCCCTTGGGTTTTGTCAGTAATGAGTAGATCGTGAGCTGTTATACCCATTCATGGCAGATTTGAGTCATGAAAGCAACAACGGCAGGAAATCCAGCTGCAAAGCCAGAGTTATGCAGTCCAAGGTGGAGAAGGATTCTAAGAGAAGGACATCCAAATATTTATCAACTTCAGTTTTGAGAAATCCGTATTTGTTCAGATATTTCAGAAGGTCTGAAATCACATATCTGTGCAGTTCACAGCCTCACCCTCTTCATTTCCTTTGAAATACAGTTCTTCAAAGTCTCTTAGCATGAATCTGAATTACGGTGGTGGTGAACTGCACCCCACTGCAGCATGTTTTGAGCAGGAACCTTGTCTTCTACACGTCTCTCACTATGAAAGTACTGTTGGTGCTACTAGCATAATTTTTGTGCTACTAATATTTTTGAAAAGCAGCTCAAACTTATACATGTCATTTTCTGCTGTTCAAGGATATTATTCTATACTTCCAAGCAACTGTGAAACACTAATTTAGGGGGAGACTGGGTGGTAAGAAGAATCAAAACCTTTAATAGATCCACTTAAAAACCATCAAAAAGAACAAAACATTCAGTTCAAAGCTTTTTCAGATTTTCATTGCTGATTACTTTAGGAGCTCGTCTTTTACCACCACTGTTACAAACCTCAGTAGGGAAGTCACAAAATGTCCAAGACTCTTCAGAATAGCACCAAACCACCCACAGAAAGTTCTCCAAGCTGATGCTTAGCCAAGGACTGGCATTACTGCTTTTGTTAGATACACACTGATTCCAGGCATAAAATGCACAGTTCTGGCTCAGAATTTTATATTTCTATCATAGCTATAAGAACTCCCACCTACTTAAGTAGGAGTTCAGAATGCCTGATAAGCACAAGACCAGACCTAATGTGCTGTTCCATGCTATTTTTGTCTTTAAAGAAAAACCTCTTTTGGGCACAAATTCTGGGCATAAAAGATACACACAAGTAAAGATACACACGCAACATTAAAAAGCATACAAGAAAAACAAGCACTTCTGCTCTCCTCTTGCGATCTGGAAACCTTAATGGTGAAAATCAAGGAGTTTCATCCACATGGGGAGTGTGGTGTCTTTTATATCTTCATTATCTGAAGTGGTCTGTTGCTTTAGCATCTGACAGTTTGTCACATCTAGACAATCAGCAAAGTAGAAGGCAGCTAACATAATAACAGATACCTGCTGACTGATTCTTGCCTTTCATTTAGCTGACTTAAAGCATGTTTACTCCCCATTTAATCTCAGAATGTTAGTCTCTTCTTATTTCATAATTCCCAGCTTGACTTGGGGTTCTTCCATTAGGAAAATAGGAACACAAACAAAGGACCTCATAACATCTCCCAGTACTTCAGACATCCTCATATGACTCAGTAATATTTACCACTGTTAAGACCACAAACATAATTATCTGTACTTTTTCCCATTTCTGAAAAAACTCAACTATATAGAATGCTACTTAAACATGCAAATACACTATATAGACAGCTAATATTGCATTCTTCATGCACTGACCTGAACAGAAATACATATGTAAGAAAGATGAACACAAATTTGGAACCAAGAATTTTGCTGAAATTATTGCAAAGTGTTGTCATAGGTCTATGCCAGTACACTGGGCAGTGCTCATATCAACTTAAGCTGCCTATATCAAAACCCAACAGGTAATCATTGCACTTAAACATCTTTGTCTTCTGTTGAAATTGCTGGCACAAAATAATTTAGATGTAAAAATTTAGATGTATGGTTGGCTTATGTCACTAGAAGAAAGAATAACTGGCAATTTTGGTGGGAGAGAGTTAAGAAATAGAACATTTGAAAGCTAGAAGCAGACAAAAGGGGGAAAGGTGCTGGGAAAGAATGTCCTAATGACAAAATTATGAACTAGAAGACATAAAGCAAATGCTTGTACAAATACTGCCATTTTAGACAATCTCCTTTGAAAAAGTCCCCTGAAGCCATCTGCTTCTTTAGAGTGAAACTGCTGCTATTGACTTGTTTTTTTTTAGGACGACTTTTTCTGCAAGAGGAGCTAATTTTCCAAGTGCTCTAGCCGCCTAATGAATCTGCCAGAAAAATCACTTTCATTTTAGGGACAGTGACCCATGAAACAACATCAAAGAGTCACTCCCTTGCTTTTCTAACTACTAACTGCAGTAGTCTTTGAACTACTTGCAGAAACACCTTCTTGAAATACTAATGTGTCCATCTTCTGACCCTCTATGAGCAGCTACTCTCATACAAGTTACTGCACACGGGGGTTAAAGCATTAAATAGTTAAAAACCCAGCAGCCTCATCAGCAAGTGGTGGGTTCACACAAGCAGGGGGAGGGAGAAGGTAAGAAAAAGGCACCTACAAATAGTCCTCAAGGTTTTTAAGGCAATGACAACACAGGTGCAATACACAGGCCCAAATTTTCACAACCACCTTCCCAGTTTCTAATTCTCAGATAAACTGCATTAATGGAGGAAGAAAGCGCACCCAGCACCCCTGCCGAAAGGCCAGGTCCTCAGCAGCCACACCAAGAGTCACACCAGAGCACAGAGCTAAGGGTGGCAATGGAAGAGCAGGTGGAACCAGCTTAGGATCACTGTGCAAACCTCATCTCGTGATCACAGTATAATCCGACACTGAAAACTATAAAAAAGTATGTACATAAAATGGAGACTTGCAGTCTGCGAGGTGAACAAGCCCACTCTGCCCCGTGCTGCCCCAGCTAGGATGCTTCCAATGCTTTTAGATGAATATCACGACTCCAGTCACACTGTACCTCAAATTATTTGGTTTCTCTCAAGCTAGCATATCACTAATCTTCAGATCAGAACCACTTGTTCCTCAACTAGAGAGTCAAATTATTATACATTAACCATAGTCTCATCTTGTTACTAAGTGTGCAAAGTGAATTCTTAGAAACTTAAAGGATTCAAACCCAAGCAAGTTACAGAAGAGAGAGGAGGCGGCTTGAATTGACATGGCATTTGCTTAATATGCTGAACACTCTCTGAATCTTGAATGCTATGAGTCAGCGCTACTCATGTCAATGATTATAGTAATTAACAGCAAGAACATTAGATTTGTGTGGGGAGAGAGGTAAATTTAGGTCTTCAGAATGATGTATTGAGCAATCAGCAACAGTTAATAGGCATGCTGGCCACAAGCGCAAAAATAAAAAATAATTTCTTATATGATGTATAAATCGGAGCCAGATTTACCAGAGCCACAAGAGGTGGTGGTGAGGCATCATGATCCAGCCTTATCCTCATCTGACCCTTGCAGCAATCTTTTTAATGCTTAAATAATACGGAAACACACTTTTACTTTTAACAAACATGGCATTTTAGTCACAGGACAGGTTTTGCCATTATCAGCATGCCTGTTAACTTACAGTACAGCACAGTGTTTATTACTTATTCAGGCCATTACAAAAAGATATTTACATCTGTTACCAGGAACTCAAAACAGACAAAATAAATCTGTGTTTTGTTTTTCAGAAATTTCCACCCAGGTTTCTCCTGTCTCAGAATTCAGTATCACAGAACAAAAGAGCTTCCACAAATAGCCACTGCAGTCTAACAGGCAAACTCTCAGCACTCTGCCAGTGGTGATGACTTTCTCTTGCACAAATCTACAGCCTCGAATACAGAAACTTGGGGTTAGGATTCATTCCACAATGCAGGAGTAGTTTAATACTCACACATCAAGTGACATTCTGCACAGCAGACCTGCATTCATTCTATGAAAAACAAAACCCACAGAGAGCTGTTCTGTTAGCAGGAAAGTAACAATACTTCTCATTAAGAACTATACCCCAAAGCATATCGAAGTTCTACACAGAGAAGCCTGGGATAAGAAGGTGAGTTTGGTCAAAGCAAGCAAAGGAAGCATTAATTCAGAATTCCTCTACATTAAGTGCTGCCAGCAGTATTCCCACAGAGCTAAATTTGCAGATGAAAGCTGCCACCCGTATATTCCATCCTCTTTTCCAGTAGAGCTAAATAAAATACATAACAGCGCTGCATTTGTACATATATAATTATATTAGACATGGGGTAAAGAAATATTAATGTTCAAGGCAAGACTGCCACCAACATTACCTTTTTGATTTCATCTTCAAATGCTTTCTCCAGATATTTGTATCTCCTGATAAGTTTATTGAAGACCTAAAGATAAACACAAGATAACTTCAAAAAAAAGAAAAATGTAATGATTGCAGCCATCCTTCTTTACAAAAAAGGCAAAGGGAAACAAGACCACCACTACTGAATCCCTAAAGAATATCTTTGACTATTCCATGATACGACACTTTTTTCTTTTTATTGTCTCCAGAGCAGGAAAGAAAAAGTAGGAAGCACTGCTGGCTGCTTACACTCTAATATTCCACTGCACAGTTTTCCTATCGACATTGTTTCCAGGAAATAAGCAGCCAGCAGAACGTTATTTCTGCAGTCATCTGTGGCGTTGTCTGTCTCATGGCAGAACATGAAACATCCTTCTCTATTAGTTTGTTCACAAGTGGAAAAATACAATTCTTGCAATTCTTGCTTCATAGAGCAATGTTTGAACCAGAGAATTTACTGCAGTTTCAGAGTTGTCTGTTTCATATTTCTCAAAATTTTATTCCTACTCTACTTTTCACCCTATCCATAGATTAAAAGCACAGGAAAGGAGCAGGAAACTCTGCACTCTGCCCCTGGTAAAGCAGCTCTCCGGGGAAGCTGTCAGGTGTAAACCAATGGGAGTGTGGCAATCAGGAAGCACTGATTTGATCTTTGTCAAATCCACTAACACAAATGCTTACAACAAAACACACTACTGCCAGAGAAAGAGGAAGAACATTTGAAAAAGCTTTTACAAATATGTTCTTGGTAACACTTGTTCTCCAGTTTTCACCATTGGTTTCCCATCGTGCCACCACAGATTACAAAAGCAGAAGCAGCACAGGTGCAAGGTGCATTCAGATGGGGAGATAAGAAATTAAATAAATCACTGTTCTCACTACTGTACGAAGTGCACAAAGCATGGAACTCTCTGCCACAGGCAAAAATGTTTGTATGGGGAACAAATGACATTATTGTCACGCAGGATGGTGGTGGTGGGAGAAATTAAGCTTAGAAAGTTTCAATTCACTTTTCAGAGAACGCAAAATACCTCAAAACATCCTAAATGGTAGTATTTTGGCTGAGAACAAATGAAAATCAAGTTGTGGCGATGCTGAGAGGCAGACACACAGAGAATTCTAATAAAATAAGGTGCAAGATAACCTGTAAGACGGAAGTGTAAGCTAGCATATTGTTCGTATTTATAAACAAAATTTTGTATATTTTCATAAGTTCCTGTAAATGACAGAAATACACTTCACAAGCAAATAACCTACTAAAATATCAACACTACCTTTAGCCTTTTTTGATGAAGACTTTTCACTCTTTGAATTGTTTCAATGATTAAACCCACAAAAAAATAGCCACACTACTGGTTCATTTGGGAGTCAGTAAGAAATTACCTAGAAGATAAGCATGATTCAAACACTATTTTAGCCTATCTCCACTTTTTCACAATACAAGAAGAGCTCTATTTCCCACTATGTATGGGAAAAAAAACCAGACAAGGTCTTTAAAAGGATACATGTCTTCAGGCATTAACTACAAAATGTTGACTTATTTTGGTACCTTTTGGTTTGAAATGCAGAGAATACATTGAAAATTCCACTGCTTCAAATCCTGAAGCCTTCCTTTTGATTTTCCAACATGGAACTTTTTATTTTAAAGTTAAATTTCTCCTTGGAGGACTCGTACTGCCAATTTTTACTATCAAACCATGAAAATATTAAAATTCAAGAAGACAGAATAAATGTTTTTACCAGTAACAGAGATTTTCCTGAAGCAGAATACCCTGTTTTTAAGAGACGATAAAGCTGACACACAAGATATATTGACTCCCTTTCCAGAAATAAGTACATTTCACTTCTTCAGATTATCAAAGATGTATTTTCAAAGGAGCTTTCTGTTATTTAGCAAACATTTGTTACTGATGCAGATTCCAGCACCCTTTAAGTCAACCATGCACCCTTTTAGCAATTCACCACCCTCAACACCTTAGCAGGGTCAGTGGCTTTTATGCTTTCCATTACTGTCTCCAGCATCCCAATGATAACTAGATAAATATGTTACTCAACTAACAATAGACTTTTGACACATAGGATTTTCAATGGTATTGCATTTTTATGCAATCCTACTTGTATTCAAAACTGCATGGCAGCTTTGAACTTTCAATAGAATTCTTCCTGTATTTTCTCATATAATATTATCTTCCATTAAGGAGTTACACAACGTTAGCTTCTCTTCAATAATGTTTTAGGCTTCATTGCTTATTTGTGTTAATTTCACATATGCCTATTTGTGCAAGCCTTATTCCTGCAAAAGGAAGTTATATATCATATACGTAGGAGAAATGAAAGCTCTTGGAATATATGCCCAATTCTAAACTAGTGATACAAACTAAAGGTTGGAGGCGTGAGCTTCAAATTTTTTTGTCATTCATATACTTCATGTGTTTCTAAAAATATGTTCATACAAATCTTTCAGGCTGCATACAGAAAAGGCCAACAAAAGTAGTAAGGATGGTGTCTAAAAATATACTGGACCAATGGCAGACTGAAGTAAGACTGCTTTCTGTAAAAGAAAGCATTGCCAGCTGTGATCAGATTATCTTAGACATCCTGTTTTCTTACATAAAATTTATAGGTTAGGGCAGATTACTGGTTAACTGGATTTTCAATTGCCCTGTAAGTAGCCTACTGCAGCCTAGACAGTCTGCAGATGTTCCACTATAATCCCTTTTGATACATAAACGGAAAACAGAAACCATGTTTTTACTGACCTGAGCATAGTTTCGGATGGCATCGTGATCTTCATCTGCAAAAAATACACAGTGGCTGGTCATCTTGGTCTTGTCATTGTCATCTATGCGTGTGCCTCCAGGAGCTAAAAGAAAGCAAAAAAAAAAAAAAAAAGCAAGAAACAATTTCTCACTTTAGACGATGTTCTGTAATTAAAAGATTTAATAAGTCTAATAAGTCTTATGTTAATATCACTTAGGCAAAAGGCAAGGGTAAGAACTAGCAGGGGAGAGGGGGCAGAGAGAGACAGAGCTTTGTGTGGCTGTGGTGGCACCTGACAGGAGGGACAGCTGGCCGGTATCACACAGACCTCACAAGACAAAGATTCAGGTCACACTAAGGAATCTTAGCTGTTTTTGAGAGCACCAAGTGTGATCTAATAAGAATGGGTTGGAGTATAACCCTTGTGCATACTTTAACTACTACTTTAAATACCATAATAATGTCAATCCTTTCCAGAGAGAAAAGTTTTAGCACTCTCTTACTAATTTGAGGACTTGGAACATCTGGTATCCTTGGAGCAATGGCATCCTGAGGTGCACTAAAAAGCATGGCCAGCAGGTCGAGCGAGGTCATCCTCCCGCTCTACTCTGCCCTGGTGAGGTCACATCTGGAGTACTGTGCCCAGTTCTGAGCTCCCCAGTTCAAGACAAGGAATTACTGGAGACTGTCCAGCGGAGGACTACAAAGATGATCAGGGGAGTGAAGCACCTCTCATGAGGAAAGGCAGAGACACCTGGGTCTGTTTAGCCTAGAGGAGAGAAGACTAAGAAGGGATCTCATCAATGCTTATAAATTTCTAAAAGGGCAGGTGTCAAGAGGTGTCAGACTCTTCAGTGGTGCCCAGCAACAGGACAAGGGACAACAGGCACAAACTGGAAGACAGGAAATTCCATCTGAATGTAAGGAAATACTTCTTTACTTTGAGAGTGACAGAGCACTGGAACAGGCTGCCCAGAGAGGCTGTGGAGTCTCCTTCTCTGAAGTTATTCAAAACCCATCTGGATGCATTCCTGTGCAACCTGCTATAGGTGACCCTGCTTTGGGAGGATGATCTCCAAAGGTCCCTTCCAACCCCTGCCATTCTGTGTGATCTCCCTAACCCTTCTAATGCTTACCAAGCCCACGTAAACATTCAAAACACTGGTGCAAAAGTTTTCTCCTGGCTTATTTTGTTGAGACCTTTTTTCCTAGATATTTCCGTTGGCTTTTGTTTCCTGCATTACCTCAAGTCTTACAAAAACGTCTTTTCTTCTTACACACCAAAGAGCAGGAAGCAGGGATCAAATGAACATGACCAGTAAAAAGAGCCAACCTATTCAAACTACAGAGGAAGGCAAAAAGCATGTTTTTGACCGTGCTGCAAGTGACACCTGGGAGAAACGCCCCATGAACATGCACTAAGTATTCCTCATTATCTTTCACTTTTCCTCTTAGCTAGCTTTTGTTGCAATGTCTACAAAGCAAGCAAGCTTTGCAATAACTAATAACCTGGAGTACTATATTACACATTTTCACACTAATAAATTCCTCTGTTTCCCCCAGTTAGCGTCTCTCTCATTTTCTTTGCGGTTGCATTTATATGGTCTTTCAGCTCAGATTGAAGGCTTCTTAGAGCAGTATCCATTTTTTGTGGTATTTGCAGAATGCCTCACACAATCAAATGCCTAGGTATTACTGCATTACAAACAATAAACAATTTTATGATACAAGATCCAGGATGTATCTAGATAAGTGAAATAGTAATACAGTTTACAGTTCCCACTTTGTAAGGGAAGACGGCATCTCAAAAGAAGCAAGGCTGATCCTCAAAATTCTGCATCAGGTACACTGCAGTTTACCTAGCATGCTGCCCGCTACCAAAATATCAAAGAGTGTGTCAGCATAACGGCGATAATCAAGCCGTGAGCCAGTTGCATCCAGAAACTTGGCTATAGCCTCCAGGTCACTCCCAGCTTCATTGAGGCCTTGAACAATCGTATCCCTGAAGACTGTGGGTTCAAATTTCTCCTTTTCATCTGGAAGAGAGATAAAGGAGAAGGAAAGAGTGTCGAAACTTTCTGTTTAAAATCCCCTGTCAGCCAGCAATTGAAATGACAGCCATGGCACCTAAACAAATTCTTCCTGTTCTGGTCAATGCACCAAAAGTTTGTCTGGTTGACTTTTATTGCCTCCGGAAATTTTGCAGTGTTTACCCTTGCTTCCCTCTCCTCCCCATCCCCCCAAAACACATACAAACATAAAGGAATAAATAAATAAAAGGGAGGAAAAGCAATTATTGAAATTGTTTTTAAATGTCATACTCTTGCTTCTCTTGTTGAAGATATTATCAAATGTGCGTATCATTATGCATTGCATTGCTAAATCTGATAGCAGAATGAAGGGTATATCAGTTATATGTAAACAATCTCACTGTAGGAACACTTCATTTCTCGATATTTTTCTTTAAATAACTATGGTTGAATCCATAAAATGTTTTCAAAAAGACAAGTCTTCAGGAAAAGAGGAGATCAAGGTATTAATTAAAATAGTTTTTGCGTAAATATTTAGGACCCTGCCACCCAGCGTAAACAAGAATTTATCTTTCATATTCACAGACCTACGCAGCGCTAGCAACACAGAAATGCAGCACTCGCATCACAGTTTCTACAGCCGTCCTTGGTTGAACTCAATTAAAGTACAGTCTGACCCCCAGACAACATCCCTATGTCAAGGCCATTAACCACAACATATGTAACTGCAACCTCCAGATAAAGCTAGGTAGATTTACCCCTACCTCCTGCTGCTTTTTCTTGCAGGCTGTTAACAGCTTACCAGACACTTGAAGCTTCTTAGCAAAGCAAGTCCTGACTTTATACAAGGGCACATAGGAAATGCTTGTTACCGTCAAAATAATGCTGAACTTCAGAAATACAACTGCGAGCTGTTCCTCAAACCAGGACAGACACTCAAAAAACCAAAAGTTTGTTATCACCTGCTGACACAAATGTTGATACAAGTTCTTTAAAAAACCTGCACATATTACATCCAGAAGATAAATCCAGGGATTTTAGTTACTAAGACGAATGAGGATTGGCAAAATTCCTGTCTAAACATGTGCAGTCTGAAACAGGCCAGCTGCAACCCTCGCAGGCTTTTTGAGAGGTGGTTCTAGACATTACACATCCTCTGGCTGCAGGTTTCCTTTCTCTGCAACTCACAGTGCAGATTTTTATCCCAAATATTAACCAGCAGACCTTGGTTTCCAATAGCCTTTCTTCCCCTAACCTCTTTCCTCCAGCCACATTAGCCTTACACCAACTGAAGAACTATTTTACACACAATGCCTACTTTTATCAGCTTTATTTCTAATACATTAAATGTTTCTTTCTCTTCTTGTTCCCCTGCATGTATGTGGGATGTGCTCAGTCCACCATCTTTAGTGCATCACTTGCACATTCTCCCCCTCTTTTAATGCATTCCCTTCCTCCATAACAATTGTACCCAAAAGACACAAGCAGTCCCTCCTGCTCAGTGTCCCAGACCACTGGGAAGCTCAGGGGTCTCATTCAACCCGTCGTTCCAAGGAACCTGGCACCACGCAGCCAACAGCAGCTCCAGGGCTGTCTTTCAAGCACTCAGCAGCACTGGAAAAACAAGGCATCACCTTATTTTCCAGAAATCCCCTGCTATGCCCAGCTTTTAGTACTGTGCTGACTGTTACCTATCTCCAAGTGGGGTGCTGCCCCATCCTCTGAAGCTGACCTCCTCGGACGAAAGCTGAGGATTACTCAGCTTTCTGGATACCCATATACATATGGCACCACAACTGTGTGCATCACTCCTGCAACTACCCATTCCCAACCCCAGCTCGTCCTGAAGCGACGCACACAATCATAGCACCAACCTAACTTCTCCCCTACCACGCTCTCTGCATCCAATAAACTACTCAATATGCCCCTTCTCTGGACTGCGAGAGACTTCTTCCCAGGCTTTTACTTTACCCCAGACCTTGGAGATATCCAGGCTCTCAGTTGTGTTACCTCGACTTTCAGCTGCGATGAAGATCTGGAGTCTGCTGTTTGAGTAACCACCTCTCACATCTGCAGGGCATGCCCGTGGTGGACAAACCAGAAAGGGGCGAGTGGGGAAACTGAAGAACCGTGCCTTTGCTCTGGGGAAATGCCTACAGAGAAGCATACTACTGGAATCCCATCTGAGCTATCAGACTGACTACCAAATACTCAGTTGCAGCTCTCTTCCAACTTCAAGTACTAAACCAACCTGAAACAAGCAACAAAACAACCAATCTACAAACAAGCCTTTTACTGAAGTAAGTACTTCACCATGTATACTTCAGGCAGTTTTATTTGCACACGAGAAACCCAGCTTCACCCATAAACAAGTACCTGAGTATAATTGCTCTCTTTTGGGTTACCAAATAAGTGGGCATTATTTGCAGGGAGGAAAAAAAAAAGTTTGATGACTCATTAACCAGTAAAACAACAGAGTCCTGTCTTAAGAGATGAGTTAAAAAAAATAATGCTATTTTACTTTTTCAACTGTATTTTCTCTAAAAATTTAAGATCATGTCTAAACTGAAAGGTGTTATACGCTTGGTATCATGGGTACACAGCGCTCAGTACAAATACAAACACCATGATTAATATTTCTTAGCTATTTTGAAGAGATTCCTTTCTTGCCCCAGAAGTCCTCCTCTCATCTGGAGTACCCTACTATTTTCTTGTCTATTATAATCTAAAAATTTACACAGGAACAGGAGGTAAACTCATTGCATGAAAAATTATTTGCAATTTTATTGCAACATTTTCCTACCAAGCTAATGTACTGAAGAGGAATATGCTGATGTAGTACAACAGGGTGAGTAAGAAGCCATCATCAAGAAGTGGCGACAGTATGTTGAGCTATCAAGTACATAATTACTAAACGAGCACAGTTTCAATCACGGGCTAGTGGAGGCAGGTGTAGCTTGCAGATGTGACACATACAATATCCAATGCAGCACTGCTACACATGGCTTCTCATTTTCATCATGTTCCCAGATCCTCATTTCCTTTCTTTTGCTTCTAAGGAAATCACAAAGCACACTTATACCTCCCTCCTTAAGAATGAATCTTAAATCTTAAACAGAAGGCCTGCAACTGTATTTCTGTGGAAGAAAAATGAGATGCCCTCTTTGGCCCCCTTTCTGATTTCACGTTAACAAAATGGTGTTAATATTAACTTTTTACTAGATAATTTTCATTCTGAAAGCAATATGCGTTGTTTAGCTTACCTTCTTTTCATGCTGACATTTACCTTTTTGCACCAGTTTTTTTAGCAGACACTAACTCTATGTTGTCTATACCATGGGAACAAACTTGGGTCTCAGGTATTGCCTGTCAGCTTGCTTTAAACAATACTCACTGTTTGTTTCTCTTAATGCTTCAGGAAGCTTTTTGCCCTGGAGGTATTTGTCGGCTGTCTGGATACTTAAATTTTCCTTATTTCCTACTGGCGTATTTGCTGTTCCTACTTCCTCCTCTTCCATTTCAGAACAAAGACATCAATTCGCATGTGTGCAAGTACAGTAGAGTCAATACAATCCATATTCCATGTATCTGCACCATAAGCACAAATCCCGGCCAGATGCCAACTACTGCTGACCCTTACCAAAAAAAGCAGTATTCAACAGGTACAGAAACTATACTAAGAACTAACCAAATGATTTTCTTTGCCCAGATTGCTAAAAACTTGACATGAAATTTTAAGATGCCT